AGGAAAACTAATTCAACTCTGTGTGGGAGTGACCTAGTTAACCATAAATGGAAATCTCACGGTGATATTTTTGTAATTCATCATCTTGTCTCTGAACTTTAATTCTTCCTGAGTGTGGAGGCAGTAATGGTCTTTCTGAATTAAAAACAACAAGAAAAATAAATAATGTTCCCTATGCAGGAAATTTCAAGAAACTACAGTCATAAGTTATAATGAAAAAACAGGGGAGCCCTCAGAGTAGGTCCCGTCTCCTCCTGAGACAGACATTCAGTGGTTGTAGCTGAAGCTGAGGTCATCACCCAGAAGCAGAAGGCTCCTCCCCTGAACTTATTCACCTCCAAGACAGGGCAACGTGTGCTCACTTTCTGCAACAGCTATGTGCCCTCCAGGTGGCTACTTACATTGCCCTAGGTCTCATGTAGACGTGGGTTGTAGAACATCTCTTAGCTCTCCTAGTAAATGTGTCTTTAATATAATAGTTTTTCTTTCATCATATAATTTGTATTTGTTCTCTAATACTTTATTATATCATCACAGTGTGGCATCAAACTTGTTCCGTGCATGTGATATTTTCCTTTGTCTATGAGATACACACTATGGGCCTGTTTTATTGTGTTTCCTGAGCTCCTATTTTCTGAGTTCTTTCTAAATCTTTCCTTTGACCTGTCTTTCACATGGAAGTATGTGGTGATTTTTGGTTGATTTGGTAGAGCTTTAACACCAAGAGGCAAAATGGAAAATCCTAGCAGAACTGGCAGTTTCATTGGTAGTCACAAGTATTAGTATCAAAAAGAAATCATATTGAATCCTACCTGGAGGTAGTTATGACAGGCAGAAATCAAGTTGCTCCAAAGGGGCGGGTTGAAAAAGGTCCTGGCTTAGGGCTCAGAATGCAGGTTTTATTTGATCACCTCTTCTGCATTATCTCATTATAACTCTCATTTTACCCACCCTGTCTCTCCGTACTGATGTTTCTTTAAATTTTTATGAGAGGATGTGAACAAAGGTCCACTCAGCCATATAGGACACCAACAATAGATGAAAGGAACAATTCATCGAAATCCAACTCAGTGAACCAAGGAGTTAGTGGGTTTAAGTAGAGAACGTAAACAAGATATTTCTACAAGATATTTCTTAAAGAGTCATGAGTAACCTAACAGCTAGCTGCATCACTGAGTTCCCACCCATTATGAATGACCACATCATGAAAGTTCATCATGGAGTTTCCCCTCCCAGCTAACGTATATTATACTCAATAATGACCCAGGATCACCAGCAGTTGGGGAAGAATAGAAGGGAATAATGGCTGGAGTTTATGGTGAGGGTTCCAGATTCTCCCTTTCTCTGCCTACTAGAAGAGGTGACCATCCTATTAACATTGCCTGACTAATCCTTCCTAGTTGACTCTGTTCATTGCCAAGGCTGCCAGGTGAATGCTCTACAGCAAGATGATGATCATTTTCTGCCTGGAAGAGAACTTCACACTCCAGCAGCTGGGGATCTACATGTGCTAGAATGCACTCTACTGCTGAGCTACACCCCAGGCCATTTGCTGTGCCTTGAGTCTCAAATCCAGAGTGTTTCACTCATTCTCTCCAAGAAATGATTGTGCCATTCTTCCTCTGGAAGTTCTCCCCGCAGGAAAGAAGAGCGAAACATTGAAATGACTTCTTAGACAGCCTTCCCTCCTGTCTTGTTGTTCGTGGGCTGTCATGCAGTGCTGTATCCATATTCTCTTAGTGTTTTCCAGGCTGTAGGGTGAGACCCAGATTACCTTGTCTTGATCTCTCCTTCCGTGGGCACTTGGGAGTTGTTTCCCCACATCTCATGTTCCTGTTCTTCATGCATGGTTTACACTGCTTGTGCTTCTTCATTGTTGCTACCTTTTCCATGTATTTTTAGGTGAACTGGAGGAGTTGGAACCCTGTGTCCAGGGCACTTCTTCAAACACAGCTTCCAAGTACCTTCTTCAGACAAATGTCCATTGTGGCAAAGCACTGACCTGTGAAGCTGTTTTCCACCGTGGGGTGCCAGTCACATATTTGACAGATCCACAGTCAACTTCCAATTTCATAGACCTAAAGTCCACAATGCTCATCATAATTAATTCCTTTATCCTTGGGATCAAGATGAATAAACTGTTAATTATGAGCACATGTGTGTTCTCTTCCATTATAATACAGCAAAATTATCTGGGAAATCTAAATATTCTAAAAATGTGATAAAAATACATATTTTTTTTTACAAAAGAAGAGTGAAATCTCTGCCCAAATTTTGTGTGCTTGTTGTTTTATGTTTAAGTTGCTCCCTCACTGTTTCAAATGAAGCAAAAATTATAGTTGAATATTGTCACTGCCTCTAACTCCTTTAGCAGGAGAAATAATTTTTGAGATCAGCATCACCCCACCCCTGGCCTTTGAAGGAGTCACACTGGATCTTTGATAGTGGTTTGACTCTGAATTCTGAGTAAATATTTGCTGATTCAACCCCCAAGAAAACACCAGTTCATGGCCGTTCCAATGTCCATAATGAAACATCATTTTAGTCAACAGACTGCAAATAGTTGTACAGATAACAACTGTATGTTCTGGGGCACTGGCTTAGGACGGGCGCAGAGGAGAGAGCTTGTGTCCTCTATCTGGTTTCTGTCATTCTGAATTCCCCAAATCCATATCAGTATGTATTTTTAAAGAATCAAAATTACTCTGACAAAAATTATGGCATTTTTTAAATTTTTAAATAGGATGCTCAAACAATGCCTTGGAGACACAACAGGCACTTTCTAAGGCCAAGCAGACAGGAACTCCCATTGGTAGGAATGGAGTTGATCAAAAAGATGGCATTTTGTTACTTAGGAGTTTCCTTCCTAGCCTGACTCCTTGTGTAATCTTTGGGGATTCTGATGGTGTTGTGGTCAAGAATGTGCGGTTTCCCAAGCTGATGATGTCTGAAGGCAACATTCAGTTGTATATGTCTGTTTGTGTCAACTTCATTTTTAAAGTCCCTTTGTTTCCTAGTGATCTTTTATACTCTGTCAGGGAAATGAATTGGGAGAGAGGAAGACATGGTCCTGTGTGAAATATTAGGAAACTTGTTCACATGAGTGTTATTTATACTTAAAAATATTGATTTATGGGTTGTCTTATTTAGTGTTTCAATTGCTGTGAAGGACACAATGACCATGGCCACTCTCACAAAGGAAAAACATTTCATGGCTTGCATTTTCCAGTCCATTATCACCACAGCCAGGAGCATGTTGGCATGCAGACAGGTATGGTGCTGGCTACATCTTGAATGCAGGCAACAGGAAGGAGGTTGTCTCACTGGGAATAGCTTCAGCATAGGAGACCTCAAAGCCCACACCCACACTTACACACTTCCTCTAAAAGAGCCACAGCTCCGAATAGTGACACTCCTTTTCGGGGCCATTTCCTTTCAAACCACCACATCTGTCCAGATCAAAAAATGGTGGTGTTAGTACTTCGGTTTTTTGACTGTTACATGGGCCTTGAATACCACTACAAACAAGGAGGGCTCAGTTTGTTATGGAAGCCCCTCATTTACTTCCTCACACTACCTGGTTAGTGAGCTTGCTGAATGTTTTCCTGAAGTCACACTGTTGAGAACACAAGGAATCCAAGTTCATCACTATTTCTGTCTTGCATCAGGACCAAGCCCTTTCCCTGAAGAGGAGATAACTCTACTCGCTCCTTAACTTTAATGTGATTCTTCTTCACCAGGCTATGAAGATGAATAAAGAAAATCACAAATTTCCCCACAGTTCTACTGGGATATTTGTTTAAACAGAGCAAGGATGTGTCTATATTTTGCCTCACTAGCCTAGCCACCTTACTACCTTAATAAAGAATTGAATGGCCAATACTGAGGCAGGAGAGAATAGGCAGCTTTCTGGGCAGAGAAAGGAACATGAGTTCGTATCTGGCATGGCAGGAGATGGCACTGAGACACGGAGAGAGCTGGACCTACAGAGGAGAGGAAAAGAGTCATGTGGCAGAAAGTAGACTATTAGAAACAGGTTAACCCATGCTCTGAGAACTAGTTGGGAACAAGCCTAAGCTAAAGGCCAATCTCTCATGATTAATAGTAAATCTCTGTGTCATTATTTGGGGTCTGGCAGTCAAATGGAAGTTCGACAAAAAAGACTCCATACACACAGCACTGGTTTGAATTATTACTCTGGCGTGGACCAGAAAGAGTGCAGGGTTTTAACGTTATTTTTTCATATGTCAAATGATGACCAGTATATTGGTCTTCTATTTCTTTCCTTATGCTGGAAGATGACTTAAATAGGCATGTGAAAAAAAATAGTTTCTGGGCATGGAAGCACATATCTTAACCCTAGCACTCAGGAAGCAGAAGAGTTCAAGGACACCATGTCTACATAGCAATTTCCAGACCAACCAGGCTCGTACAGTGAGACCTTGTCCCAGAAGGAAACCAAGCCAGTGGTATCCACCAATACAAAATTTATAACACTATCAAGAAAGTCTACAAAAGGAAACAAACTAAGCAAAGGCATACCACAAAATGTAGTGAGATTCATATTGTGGGAAGGTCTATGTAAGATAATTTCAAGTGAAAAGACACTACAAATGGTAAATGCACAGAAAACAATTTAATTTTAAAAGACTTTTTATTTATAGTCATATGTTATTGTAAGCAGTAAAAATTCACACTTTGTTTTTCTTTATATTGGTCATATTCAAAATAGAATAAAATGGGCTTCCTGTTTAGGAGGACTGCTATCTCCTGGTTCTTTGTAATCAAAGCATTCAACAGCCTCTTTACATCATTATCTATAGACCAGAATGCCTCTGTCCAAACACTGGGTGGAAATAAAAATGTTTTTGAAGTTTGTGGATCAATAAGAACTTCCTGCTTCACACAAAGCTCAAACGGTGGAGACCGCAAACCACTAGAGGATGATGGGAATTAAGAGATGCTTAAATACTGGATCCTGGCTACTCTGATCAGCTGCTGAGCTGCATCCCAGGCAACATGAAGGCACTCCTCATTCTGGGGTTCCTCTTGCTTTCTGTCAGTGTTCAGGCCAAGGTCTATGAACGCTGTGAGTTTTCCAAAATTCTGAAAAGAAATGGAATGGATGGCTACAGGGGAGTCAGCCTGGCAGACTGTAAGTCTCCACTTCTAGACCTCTCCATATAGGCACTCCCTTGAAAACAGGAACAAGGAAGCAATGAATGAGAGGGAGCTGGAGTCAATGAGTATTTAGGATTCCTGTGTGCTTGACTAAAGTCGTCAATGTTTGTCTTTTTCCCTCAGAGATACTGGGTTGAGGGTTTGTGAGGGCATCTGTGCCAGGCTAAGGCAAGAGGACCTGAGGCGCTCTTAGAGTGTCACTGGGTTTTCCAGTTGCTTCAGACTCGAAGTCCACAGGGGACTGAGAAAAGGTGGGAGGACTCACTCATTCAGAACTTGAGTTCTCAGAGCCTGGAGTGAGTGGTATCTGTGTTCGTTGCTCTTACCACGGTATGGACCTTTTGAGAGAAAAAGTATCAAAGTTTTTGGACTTCCTATGCAGAGCAGAGAAAACCCATTCCCCCTAGTTGCTGCTTAAATGAGGTCTTCTAAAACTGGGAATGAAATGATTCAGTGTGCTTCTTCACTCTGGGATGTACATTCGTTCTGAAAAATGGAAGAAATCGATGTGTAAAAGTTGTTCGTGGCTTACTCCATCTTTGTCATTTAAACTAGTGTGATGTTCAGATTATTTTAAGTCAGCTAATACTCAATAACTGTCAATGAATGAATGAGCAGAGAGGTGTATGTGTGGATGGATGGATGGATGGATGGATGGATGGATGGATGGACAGACGGATGGATAGATGGACAGATAGATAGGTGGACAGTGGATGGGTGAATTGTTGAAGACATGGGTAGATTTTATTGCAGAATAGTCTTTCCTGTTCTAATGTTCTTGTTTTCAATATTACCACCAGCCATTTGTGAAGGTACACACTCCTGTAATACAAACAATGGGACGCTGAGGCAGGAGATTGCATGTTCTGTGCAAAATTCAGATACTTAGTGACACAGAGAAAAGAATTTTAACATTCAAATTTCCCTTAGTTATTAGAACATCTGTGTGAGGAAACCCTCATTTTTCTAATAGGAACATCTTCTATTAGTTTATGTACTGATATAAATTTATAAAATCCATCTAATTACTCTTTATGACTCCATTTTAGGCAGAGGTGTCTCAAGGATAAATGAGAGAGGGAAAAGTAATGGTAGAAATAGCTATTTTATTTTGGGGGCATGATTCCACTGTATAGCACTGGCTGGCCTGAAACTTGCTATGAAGGCAAGACTGGTCTCTATCCCAGAATGATTCATCAGTCTCTTCCTTACAACTGCTGGGAATAAAAGTGAGCATCACTGTTACTGGTTCATCTATTTGAGTATTTTAAAAGAACCCCATCCTGTTGATTCTCAGTGCAAACTGATTTGTCCTCAAAGAGATTCTCTTTGGGGCACCTGAAAATCACTTGCTGCCTAGGTACAGAAGTTCCACCTACTTGGAAGTCAGAGATAGAAGGATCACTTGAGACCAGAGACTACCCTGAGGAACTCAGCCAGACCTGGTTTGAAGCAGTGGTAGCAAATTTTATAATTTAATCATGTAGTTGTACTTATTAAGTAAATCAGTTCTAAAATACAGCAAGATCAAAGAGCTAATTTTGGTATCCAATATAAATCATTTGCTGTTGCTGCTTACTGATGAATATTCTTTTTCTTTCTAGGGGTATGTTTGGCTCAGCATGAGAGTAACTTTAACACTCGAGCTACAAACTACAACCCTGGAGGTCAAAGCACCGACTATGGGATATTTCAGATCAATAGCCGATACTGGTGCAATGATGGCAAAACCCCAAGAGCGGTGAACTACTGTGGGATATCCTGCAGCGGTAAGACATGGCAGACTTAGTTCAGATAGCAAACAAGTCACCTGTTCCTAGGTGTGAGAGCAGAGATTCTGTGCAGGAGACAACACTGAAGGAAACATCAGGAACCTGGGGAGACTGTTAGAAAGCCATTGTAAAGCACACCAAAATTAGCCAAGGAAGACATTAGACTTAGGGCATAGTGTGGTGATAGAATGCCCTGCCTACCAGAGGGTCCTGGGTTTTACCTGGGGAGTCTGAGACAGGCAGACCCATGGAGCTAACTGACCAACCAGCATAGCCTAATCAGTAAGCAAGTTCCAATGGCAGACTCTGTCTCTGAAACAATGTGCTCCTGCTTCTAGGGAACAGCTCTTGTAGCTGTGTTCTGACTTCTAATATACACAGGCTCACTGGTGCACATACCACAACACACAGAGATTCACATGCTAAATTAGTAGAAAATTAAGAAATAAACTGCTGGTACCTTTAAAACTTTGTGTTTTTTTAAAAACCTATGCTCACATGCCCATACCCAGACATGTAATTAAAATTAAAAAAATACCTGTAAGAAGTTATCATTTTATAACACATGAAAATTTCTGTGATACGTACCAATTAATTGTAAGTTGCCTTATTGGTATTTTGTTCTGAAGATTTCCATCCTAGCAATTTACCTATGGGCTGTTATGGATATTACTGTAACATCATTTTTGATGAAATGAGTTTTATTATAAAGATTTCTAACACATACAAATAAATATATTACTATAATAAATACCATCTGACAGGGTATGACGAAGTCACTGGCATTTTCTCCAAACTGGCTTTGATGTGTATGTGTTTATGCACTTCTCATCTTAAGAGATCTTTGAGTGAATTTCTAACATTAAATTCTGCTTTGAAACTTTTTTTTAATATTTATTTATTTTATTATGTATACAATATTCTGTCTGTGTGTATGCCTGCAGGCCAGAAGAGGGCACCAGACCCCATTACAGATGGTTGTGAGCCACCATGTGGTTGCTGGGAATTGAACTCAGGACCTTTGGACGAGCAGGCAATGCTCTTAACCTCTGAGCCATCTCTCCAGCCCCTGCTTTGAAACTTTTTAATTGACATTTCCAAACTATATAATTTATTGATGAACATTATCTCATCTATCAAAATAACATGGATTTATGTATTTAGGAAGAACTTTGTTTTGAACAAGAAAAAGAACAGACAAGCTTTACATCGGGATGGAGGCCTGGGATGGTAGAACTTGAATTAATAGCATGATGGAAGTAATATGCAATGTCTGTGCAGGAATTAAGTCAGTCAATGGTGTTCTATTTTCCAGTGTGGGAAGTGAACATAAGACTTGCTATTTTAGTCAAGCACTCTAAACAGTAAACTATGAATTCCTACTCTGTTAAATCTGGTTGATAAACATTTTTAAGAGAAATAGATGGTGGAACATTTTTGTAGCCTACGGCACCTATCTTTAAAAAAAAACATTTTGTAGACTCTTCTACAGTCATTGAAAGGGATTAGAATCTACAGGGATAGAGAAAATTACTCCTGGGTTGAGAGCTCAGAATTCATATAACTAGAAACCTTTGGACAACATCCTTCTAGAGTGTAAATCTATGCTGTAGGTCCATGGACAGCTATATCATGGGCATATGTACTCACATAGAAACTTGTAAAGATTTTACATTTATACACAAGTTAAGTTATACTTGCCCAGCTTCATGATAAGTTTATTACTCAAAAGTACATCCATAGTAACAAATACTGTTCTGAATTCTTATTTTAAAGAGTTAATAAAATTACAATAGCAATATTCTTTATGCTGAAAACACCACACTTAAGTTTTGAGTGTTTTTTTTAAAGTTAACATTATGTTTACAATGTTCTACCTTCATGCCAGAAAAGGGCACAGAATCTTAGTATGGATGGCTGTGAGCCACCATGTGGTTTCTGGGAATGGCACACAAGATTCTTAACCCCGTGCCTTCTCTTCAGCCCCAAGTCTTGAGTCTTAGAGCACCTGGCTCCTTTTATTTTACTGGTTATAAATTTCTAGGAAGAGCTTTATTCACACAAGCCTTGTGCATTGTTTTCTTCCTTAAAGTATTCATTTATCTTTACATGTGTGGGTGTTTTGCCTACACATAGAACTGTGCACCGCTTGTGATCCTGGTACCTGTGGAAGCCATAAGAGGGCTTTCATTACCTGGAACTTGAGTTACGAACACTGGAGAGCTGCCATATGGGTACTGGGAATCAAGTCTTCTGGAAGAGCATCCAACACTCTTAGTCACTGAGCCATGTGTGCAACCTATATTTCTTTAGTATCAGTTTCCACTGGTCATTCCAGATGACAGTTCTAGTGTGGTGTTCTCTTTTCCAGTGTGAGAAGGAAGAGGAACTTCCCTCGTGGTAGCTGACAGTCCCACAGCCTCCAGTGACTCCTCGTTACTTCAAAGTGTTCTCTACTTTTTATCAGTGCTGGAATTGTAAGAACACTCTACCTGTCAAGTATAATCCCACCTCCACAGTCTTTAAAAATGAGAAATATAGTGACTTATACCATGTCAACAGGAGAGAATCAAGAGAATCTCTCTCCAATAGTCACAGATGCATGGACAGTTGTGAAGAAATTTCTTGTATTCACTGCTCAGTGTCACAGAAGAAAGCTGCCTGGATCGGAACTAAATGGGTTCTCTAACCGTCCTTGTCATTCCTCACCCCTGTCTTTCAGTTTTGCTCCAGGATGACATCACTCAAGCCATCAAATGTGCAAAGAGGATTGTGAGTCAACAAGGCGTTAAAGCTTGGTATGTGGGACACTGGGAGGGGGAAACTGTCGGTTCTGTTGTTCTATGCAGTGAGTCTTTCTGAGGCTCAAGTGTCATTCTGAACACGCAGGCACAGCTGGGACCTTTCTCTACACCGTTAGTTTTAGGGATTTTTTTTCTAATTCCAAGAATCCCATACATGACTACTTCCTTGTCAGGCTTCCAGACTGTACTCTTGATGTCACATTGACAATGAGGATCCAGGGTTCTGCTCGGGGTTTGGAGAGGATCAAACCACAATGTAAACACAGCTCCACCAGTCAGTTGCAGTTTCTGGGTGCAACTATAGGCTTTGTTTCACACTGGATCTTGACCCAGAAACTGATCGCCGGTAGTGCCACCTTTACACCATTTCCCCGCAAATGTTTGAGTCTGTGTGTGACAGAGCAGACAATTTTAACCATTTCTCCCCTGTCTCACTTTCCTCCACAGGGTGGCATGGAGAAACCGCTGTCATAACCGAGATCTCACCCAGTACATTCGGAACTGCGGAGTCTAACCACTGTGTGTTTCCACTTCAGCTCATTCTGTCTCTTTCTCGCTCTAGAAGTAGTCATGGGAAAGGTCACACTTCTTTGGTTTCCCCTCAAGCAAGCATGTTTTAAACAGAAAAGGCAGCCGTAAAATGGAGACTGTTTCTAAGAGGATTAATGCTGACTCATGTGTTCACTGTTTGAAGCAAAGCCTCCATTTTTCGATTAGCCAATGCAGTGGATGCTGGTGACAGCGGTCTAACACTTCAGTTGCCACACACATCTCTATACCTCCGTTATCTACCTGTGAATTAATTCATATTTAGTTTCATCAGAATTAATCTTCATCTCCTCCTTGTTTGATGGAGCTATAACAGATATTTAAGTGTCTAGTAGATCTCGAGTAAAATGACAGCTGTGTGAGTTCCAGCAACCAGACAGGTAGAACAGACACTATGTGGGGCAAGGTGGGTTTTTAAGGAAACAGAACTCTTGAGTGAATAGAAATGAGAGTAAGTCAACTCAGAAACCTGTTGTCATGAAATGTGTGACCTAAAAAAAAGTATTGCTTAGAATTGTCTCATTTACACTGCTTAAAATATAAATTCTCAACTCACATGTCTGTTTCATCCCTTGAGAGAATGTTCCCATCCTCTTGCTGATCATGAGGTATTCAGGACAGATTAGTGTCTGTGCTAGCCCTTAACTTTCTTCAAGTAGCTTTATGCATATTAACTAACTCTGAGACAGATGAACTTGTATCAGCAAAACTAAGAAATTGTAAAAAAAAAACAAAGCTACAAGTAGCCATTAAATGATTTTCAGTGCACAAGTTGTCTGTGTATCCTCTCGTATTCTGTCTATGGGGAAATTATTTATGTATTGTAAGAGGGAACATGGTATTCATAATAGGGCGTACATTCTCATCCAAGGTTAACCAGCACCTTCTTCATCACCTACACATAATCAGCATCTATATTCTCATCTACACGTAGTCTACTTCTACATCCTCACCTACACATAGTCTGTGTCTACATTCTCACCTACACATAACCATTTGTATATTTCTCGGGTAAATTGCAGAAGCAAGTTGACCAATCTCCTTGTCCCTAACAGGCCCTTGAGAAAGCTAACCATTTCTTACCAGAGTTTGTTCTAGCCTAGCCTCATCCTCCACACACCCTACTTCTCAAACCCAGCGCTTGATCACCCCCTTCCTGGACAGTTGAGTGAAGTAATTTTTTGAGGGTGTTCACAGCAATCTTTCAAGAGGGCATAGTCTATCATACCATATTGGGATAGAAGCAATCCACAGGATCTCATCCTCTGTGAAATCAAAAGAAGACCCTCTTTTCCAAAGCATCATATCCTTAGACCCAAATTTGGAACATACATGCTGTATCAGCTTAGCATCCCACACAATGAAATGTCTCTCTGTATTTAGCTCCTTCAGAGTCAAAAAATTCAAAGAAAATATAATATACAGAATCCAAACTATCTGTGAATTTTCCATTTTTATGTGGCTTATTTTTCTTTATTTTTTTAATTTATAACTATCTGTACTCTGTCTCTTTAAAGACTTTACCTTTTTTTTTAGAGCATTAGTTTTATTCTCTATATTCTTTTTCTTCTCTCTCCTAAACCTACGTATGTCTATCTGACACTATGACCCATTTAGAGGTCTTTTATGTCTGAATCTGTCCTATTGCATTGCCTGTAACTCTTTGCTCTCCAGGAACATTTTTGCTTTGCGCTTTTAAATCACTAAGCACTTAGGAATCTAAGCTGTGACATTCCTAGGTCAAAAGCAGGTCCTGCAGGCTTGCCCCGCACAGTCCAACATGGGAGCTGCTTGTGCCTCTGAGCTGTGGCATACAATGTCCGCCTTTTAGGAATATAGCAAGTTTAGTTGCCATCAAACAAATCATAGCACTTTACTCCAAATGCTCCGTCTCCCAAAAGAGTCAGAGTTTGCAATGGCGGCACAGCCCAGAAAGCTGATGTTTTAAAACCTCAACTTTCTAGTAGACCTTATCCTGCTGCCTACCAAGGCAGGAAGAGCTGAGCCACGGGCATGGTCTCAGCTACTTTCCTCCCGATCCTGAGCAGACACACAAACACTCAGGCCCACAAATGCACCATAGCCAGAGTTTGCACCAGAGGCAGGGCCCAGGAAGCTGCGTTTTAAAACCGCATGATTTTTTTTTTTGTACAGCTGCTGGATCAGGAAATCTCTCTGCAGCACACCCTAGCAAACAGCAAAAAGCTATGTTGATCTCTCTCTCTCTCTCTCTCTCTCTCTCTCTCTCTCTCTCTCTCTCCTTTTTAAGCCCTCTCAAGTTTTATGTGGAGTTAGTAGACCGTGGTGGCCAGCCACTCTGTAGTAGTGAGAGCGGCGGGCTGTGGCCCCACAACCTGGATAGTTTATGCCTGAAATAACCACACCAAATTGTGTTAATTAAATTGCTGCCTGGCCCATTAGTTCTAGCCTCCTATTGTCTAAGTCTCACATATTGATCCAACCATTTCTAATAATCTGTATCGCCACTTGACTGTGGCTTACCGGCATGAGTCTAACCAATGTCTGTCTCTGAGAGGAGAGCCATGGCATCTGCCTGACTCTGCTTTCTTTCTCCCAGCATTCTGTTCAGTCTACTCCACCTATCTAAATTCTGCCCTATCAAAAAGCCAAGGCAGTTTTTTTTAATTTGACCAATGAAAGCAACACATAGAAAGAAGACCCTCCTATACCAAATGTACCACATTTTCCTTATCCATTTTTGGTCGAGGGCCATTTAGGTTGTTTCTATGTTCCAGCTATGACTAACAACTAGCAATGCTCCTGCCTTGTTGGTGGGAGTGCAAACTGGCACAGTCCCTTAGATTACCAGTATGGTGATTTCTCAGAAAATTAGGAAATAATCTTCCTCAAGATCAAGCAATACCACTTTTGGATATATTCCCAAAGGATGTGCAATGGTACCACAAGGACATGTGCTCAATTATGTTCATAGTAAGGTGATTCTTTTCTCATTCTTTCCTAGTCATACCTGCTTGCCCTGCACCTCTACTTGGTCAAGATATTCTCAGCCGCTTCGGGGTCATACTCACCTCTCCTGAGTCACACTTTCTTCTTGCCTTAATAGCCTCTTAAGTTCCTATCCCAAACTGTCTTGTAGCTACTCTCCCTGACTCAGTAGATCCCCAAATATGGTATACTTTCACTCCTGTGGTTGCTACTCACCACCAGCCAGTCCTGGTTTGCCTTAAAGACCCTTGGTCCTTTCCTTCCAGACCCCAGTATCCTATTCCTGAAATCCACCTCCAAGGTCTTAAGCCTATTTATCACCCAGCTCCTATTTCAAGGACTTTTAATTCCTATCGACTCACTCTGCAACACTTTCATCCTTCCCGTGCATAAGACCTCCGCCTCATAAATGAGGCAGTTATTCCAGTTTACCCAGTGGTTAACAATTAATACAATATCCTGTCTAATGTCCCTCCTGCCACCTCCTATTTTACTGTTCTGGACCTAAAAGATGCCTTCTTTACTGTCCCTTTATACCCTAACTCATACTTTCTCTTTGCCTTCACCTGGGAGGACCCTGACTCCTAGTCCTCCAGACAGCTAACATGAACTGTTCTCCTTCAGGGTTTCCGGGACAGCCCCCATTACTTTGGCCAAGTTCTGGCTTGGAAGCTCTGAAACTTTGACCCGGGTCCTAGCACGCTTCTCCAGTATGTTGATGATCTCCTTCTCTGCAGTCCTACATTGACTCTGTCCCAACAGGCCACCTCTATGCTCCTAAACTTCTTCGGATATTTGGGTTATCGAGTCTCACCAGCTAAGGCTCAGCTGTGCTCTCCCAGGGTAGTATATTTGGGTGTTTAACTCAGCCTGGGGTATAAGACCCTCACCTCTGACAGTGTACAGGCCCTGCGGACTTTACAGCCCTCAACCGCAGGGGCTCAAATCCTCTCATTTTGGAGCCTGCTAGGGTTCTTTAATCATTGGATCCCTAACTTTGCCATTACAGCCAAGCCTCTGTACCAGGCAGCCAGAGAGACCTCCACGGGGCCTCTCACCCACCTGGCCATCATCCACCACTGTAGTGAGGGGCTGCGGGCAGGCCTGCTTTTTGCCTCACCCGGCTCCCGCATGGCTAGCTTAGTCCCAGAAATAACAACACACAAATTGTATTCATTTAAGCACTGCCTGGCCCATTATCTCTAGAGAGTTAGTTACTGACTAACTCTCATATCTTGATATTAACCCATTTCTAATAATCTGTGTAGCACCACGAGGTGGTGGCTTACCGGAAAAGATTCAGCATGTCTGACCTGGTGGCTGGTTCCATGGCTTCTGCCTCATAGCCCTCTTCCCAGCATTCTTCTCTGTTTTTTCTGCCTACCTAATTTTCTGTCCTATCAAGGGGCCAAGGCAATCTCTTTATTGACCAATGAAAACAACACAATAGACAGATAACCCTCCTCCATCACACCACCATGTCTCTCTACAAGAGATGCCCTTCTAACAGTCCCTGCTATTGCTCTTCCAGACCCCATGAGACCTTACCACCTTTAAACAGATGAGAGGTCAGGAGTGGTTACCGGAGTTCTAACCCAACAGGTTGGGTCTTCGAATTGGGCTGTCACCTTCTTATCCAAATGGCTGGATCTTATCTTCTGTGGATGGCAGTCATGCTTAAGAGCTCTGGCCGTAGCAGCTGAACTCACTTGGTGGGAGGGCCCTCA